GGGCAATATGCTGACTCTGTAAACCGCTTAGAGAGGGCTGAAAGCCCTATGAAGCGGTATATAAGTCTAACTGCTATTGCTATTGCTATTGCCCCCAATAATCTGGATCCTCGTTTTACGGACTTTGGAAGGATACACGTTGAGCCAACCTTGAGCCAGTGAGGATCGAACTGCTGGCAGTCAGCAGAATTAGCCTGCAGTGTTGCATTCTAACTAGTGTGCCCAAAGGAAAAAAAATACGTTACTGACTCCTATTGTTTGATACTGCAGCTTATCCTTTGAGCCAAAATGTTTATGCTTGTATTTTTAGGGCTTCCGGGACCAACTGGGAGACCAGGACCACAAGGACCAAAGGGGGAAAAGGGAGAGATTGGTGAAAAAGGACCTGCTGGACCACCAGGTGAATGGAGTGAGGAGAGAAGCAGCTATGCATATTGCGAGGACAATATGGAGCCTGAGTTGGCAAATTCCATGAAGATACTTGGAGTTGGGCTACATGTTACATGGCAATTCTGCAGCTTCCAGATGAACTATATTCCCATTTCCCCCATCAGTACAGTGATTTAGATCAGGGGTCTCCAACCTTGGCAAATTTAAGAGTTGTTGACTGCAACATTTAGAATTCCGCAGCCAGCAAAACTTGCTTGAAGTCCACAAGTCTTAAAGTTTGCCAAGGTTGGAGACCCCTGATTTAGATTACAAGAAGGGACTTCTGGGACCTGGAGCTCAGCACACTCAAACACAAATCTTCAGCCTTGATGGCTGAATTGAGTTTTCTTCTTGGCTGTCCTTCCTAATCCCAAGGCTTAACTGTTATTAAAGCAGTTTGTTTCCAAAACTTAAAAATAGGTCTCTCTAATTTATTCCATTTGAGAATTTTCATGTGATTTGTCATAGGTCCTCATTTTATTAATGAACATCACATGCGTCATCAAGGGCAACAATTCCTCATTAGTAATAGTATGCTATATTTATATTTTTAGAACAGTTTTGCCCTTAAAATCTGCATGGCGTGTGTTTGTGTGTGTGTGTGTGGGGGAGAACCATTGATCGTTTTTAACATTACTTCGAATCATATTTCTAATCTTTTGGGATGTAAGCAATTCTATTATATGTGAAAGATTCCCCTGATTTTTAGACTATGTTGCCTGGCCTAGGAAGGTGGAAGTTGTATCTGGAGTACACTACGTTGTAGAAAAACGGTGCCACGTAAATAAACATTCTAACTCATCAATTGATTTGTTCCCAGATATGCGACAGCATAAGGATGCCTAGAAATTGGACATAAAACATTTCCCCAAATTTGAGAGGTATCGCTTGGCATCTTCTTACCTGATATAGTCAAGTTGTTTACACTTCACAGTCTAAACAACTGGAATATAGAAAGAAATTCATGAGAAACCTCATATCCAGTTTTTGCAATTCCAGAGACCAGGGTTTCGAGATCTTAGCTGATCCAGGGGTTTTATCTGAATAGTTCAGAACCAGTCGTTACATTTTTTCCCCTTAGGATGGAGTGCTTCTCTACTTTGGTGAGCAAAGAAGGGTGAAGGGGTAGTGGGACAGGACAATCTCACTAAGGGTTTTTGACCCTATCATCTCAGAAGCTGCAGGGTATTGGCATGAAACAGGATGTGCCTCTACCATCTAGAGCCCTAACCAGGAGAAGTGTAATGAGCTGTGAGAATAACCTTGAGTAATAGGAGGAAAAGCTACAATCAAGACAACTGTCAGATAATGTTCTGACCTAGGCGTCCCTATAAAGCACGAGGCAGAGTCCTGCTCCGACAAACCCTCTTTTATTAAACAAATGTGAATTCCTTTCATTCACATTCAGCAAGGCCTGGCAAACAGTCTTTCAAAGGAATATTTATGACTACAGACCTTATCTATCTTGGAAAGCT